TACAAAATTATTAAAGTAAAAAAAAAAAAAAAAGCCTGATAAAACATTCAATGTTTTCTAATTCTTAGCAATACAGGTAACATTTAAAATTTACCATCTCTCTGACTAGTCTCGTCTTCCGCTCTCTTCCTCTTTTTATACCCCCAGTGGTTCCTTTTATCATCTTCTGCATTACCTAACATTAAATTCATAAAAGTTATTTCAAATATCTTTTTGAAGCATAGCAGATTATTTTTTTAATTAATTTTTATAATCCATACTTGTATAGTCTAAAAATGTAACTAGAACAGTGGTTCCCAACATGTGCATGTGGAAAAACATAGGCAGGGAAGGGCAAGAGAATGATGTGCATGGGGGAACTGCACATCCCAGGATTTACTTTGACTGCCACTACAAACAGAAGGCTTAAACTGAAAGCTCTTAAACCCACCCTCCCTCACCTTTCTTTCCATCTCCAGTACAAATAGCTATAGGAGCAGCTCACTGACCACAGATTTCTCTCTCGGCAAACAACTTGTCTGGTCCATGCTACCATGAACTTCCTAACATTACGGACACAGTCCTCAAGGACCAAGAGAACTACCTCGTCTGTCCGTGTGAATGACATACTTTTGTGCAGGAGTGTTCTTGAAGTATTAAAATGATGAAATTACTCTCCTAGGAAGTAAGAGCCATAGTAATCTTTATCTGCTCCAAATGCAAGGTACCTTCTTTGACTGCCTTCTCTGAAGAGTAAACAAAAATTCTTCATCATAAAAAAAAAGCCCACTTCCACCTTTGCTGCCTCCGCTCATGAAACTCCGCAAGGAAGTAACAAAAGCACAAGAACAAAGCATGCATATCCACTAATCCAATCCCAGTTCACTGCTGGAAGATGTCTGATGCTATTATGAGGAGGACAATTATAAATATAAAAAGAGACAACTTTGGGAATAGAGGAAACAAAAATAATCAAAATCTAGAATGAAAGGAATGGACTAAAGACAAGCAAAAAAGAGCAAAAAAGCCGTTTGTTTTTTTTTTTGGTCCCGCAAGAAGTGCATGGCACAAGTTAGAAAGGAGGTAAATGGTTCCCTGTATCAGTCACAAAGGTGTTCCCATGAATTTGAATCCAACCTTTCATATGGAAATTGGAAGGATGCTTAATGACTGAAGTCCTGCACTAGTGCAGAAGGCAGGGTTTTTTTCGTGGCTGCCTCACTGAACTCCAGGGCAACCAAATCACTTCATCATCTCATACCTCAGTTTTCACATCTAAGTAATAGGAATGATGAGACCTACTTCTCCACTGAGAAGTACTTTGAAATGTGAAGAAAAGTAATTTAAACCAAAAAAAGAAGCAAAATCCACAATAAAAATGGTTGTATTTCTTCCCCCTCAAATATATTTTTTTATCTGAGAAGTAGCACTTCAGAGTTTCCATCAAACAGCTATTTTAAAAAAGGCTTTTTTACATCTTAACTCAGAATTTTTGCAGCAAAAAACATGTACTGCAAGCTGCACCTCTCTTTTTGTGATTCTCCCCAAACATTACCTTGGGCTGGACTGAAGAAAGAAAAACCAAGTTTTCATAGCTAATGTGTAATGAAAGGATTTCTAAAACACAATTTGTAATTAAGAAATGCATACAATTCAAGTCATATTACATTTAATCACCAGACAGCAGAACATTAGTGGTCACCCAGCAGCTCCGCAAGGCAGAAGGTCCTGTTTCTAGGGTTTCTAGATCTCCTTTTGCATCGCTATCTTCTGTCCCAGTCTTTTCTTGCTCTTCCACTTGAATATTTGCTATGTGCCTCAACTCTAAACTTATCAGAATCACCAGCGAGGCTCTTGGCAGCCTGATAGAGCCTCAGAACAAAAACGGAGCAGAGAGGAGCAGCTGGTCCTTTTATTGCTGTGCTGGGTCCCTTTGTCTGCTCTGCACCCTGGAGGCCACCGGGATAAACTTGCCAGTGCCTGCAGTGAATTTCACTGCACTGCCTTTAGTATTAGAAGCTGCAAATAGAGTGAAAACTAAAAATTGTTAACTATGGCTCCATTCCCTAATAGGAACAGAGCACAGTGATGGGGGGACACAGAAGGAAAAGAAACTCTGCAGTGAAGGCAACAACTGAAATAATGACGAAGAGAAAGCACGTTCAGTTTGGTTTAAAGCAGAAATGCAGGGGCACTCTTTACCAAAGGTCTTCCCCTGGATTGCTACCAAAACATAACTCCTAGCACTTGCTTGACTTCCAATGTTTTTACTTCAGCAGTAACTAAATCAGCCTAAAAAGTTGGGTTTGTCAGGTTTAACATTAGAAACAGATAAGCAGGCATTTTGTCTAGGGGATGGTTCCATTAAATAGTTGAACAATTATAAAAAAAACCCCCACAACTTCTGTTAGAAAAAAATGAGTGTACAGACACAACAATCTACATAAGAACAGGCAAACAAAACCAAAAAACCCACAAACCAAAACCCAGTGGTTACAAACTAAAAGCTAATTTCTATCTTCAGAGTACTGTTGGCCACTTTCTAGAGGGGTCAATGAAAGGCCATCACAGTTGTGAGCACAAGGCAGTCCCCAAGCAGTGTCCACTTTTTATGAAAGGGTTTAGTAACACTGCTAACACCTCCTTGTCAAGCTAAGTAGGGAACTTCTCTTTGACTCTTCTACATCTGCAAGTTGCAAACTAAGAAATGGAGCTTGCTGTGGTAGCATGCAAAGATGTTGTTTCCAACTGGATAGTTTAAGCTGAATGTAAGATTATGCAAATTTTATGCTCCTGTTTTTTTAAACATGTCTGAAACACTGAAGAGTTACATCCAGAAGGGGCTGCATCCAGAACTGCTGCTTGACCTCTAAAGTGCCCGTTTGCCAGATGCCTCTAAAACACACAAGGTTTCCTTGACACTTTGCAGTTGCGCCTTCTGGTCATGTCCACAAGTTCCCAGCTCAGAGCACCTTTCATATAACTAACTGTCTAGTGGTCAGAAAATCATCAGTGAATAGATGTGTGTTTTAAGCTTTCTTTACTACAGAGCCACTCAAAGCCACAGCTCCTCCAAGAGCTTGCTACTGACAAAGCTAAAATCTTGCCTTCATTCAGACTTGTCTCCTCCTAAAAGTGGCCCATTACGCAACCGAAAACATGAGACGCTTGGCACCAAAGGTAAAGCTAGGAAGAGGGAACCTGACACTGTCACTTAATGGTTAGGGCAGTAAGCCAGAGCAGAGGAGACCTGGGATCTTTCCTGCTCCCTCAGCTATATAGGTTATTCTACACATTAATCTTACAGCAGTACCATTCTTCAGAGCAGAAGAGATGTACAGCCACAGTATGGTAAATGAACAGAGGAGATTTCAGACATGCAAATCAGGTAAGATTGCTTTACCCATATACTTTCTTTGTCATAGAGTATAAAGCACCTAAAGGAAAACAGGATATCCAAATTAAAAACAAACAAGAAACCCCATCATTGTCAAAAAGTCAGGCAAAAACATCAACCATCATTACATTATGGCAGAGTTGGGACCACTGAAAAAAAAAGACGCAGGAAGATTGCTAAAAAAACCTCTCTCCCCAATACTTCAGGGACACTTTTCTTCTTCTAGTCCTTTTCGTCTAACTCGGAATGCCCAATCTATGGCCATAACCTACTAATAGCCATGTTTTTCCCCTTGAGGGCACGCTGTGGTAAACTTACCACTGTCAGCAAGATGCTGTTGCCAAAATACTCTGAGAGAGAGTTTGGAAATGGAGGCATATACTGCACCATGTATTTACAACCTGCACATGCAGAGTAGCATGACAAATGCTAGATGTACTGTCATTAACTGTCCCATGCACAAGCTGTAAACCTAGTGATTTAGCAGGAAATACATCATATCACGCCTGGCTTGGAAAGGGCAGACATACTTGAGTTGACCAAACACTTAGCCAAGGAAAGTTTTTAAACAGCTGTGGTTTAAACTACTCCTATGCTCCCCCTTTTCATCTCGATCATTTCCTGCATTTCCCTCTTCTAGAGAGCATCACCCTGATAATGGAAGCTTGCAGAAAGGAACCCATGCCTGAGTGTCAAAGTCTTTGGCACAAATCTAGCTCAAACTCCTCTTCAGCGGCAACTGATATCCAGACACCAGACTCTATGCAGGAGCAGCCAAGATGCAGAAACAGTTTTAGGTCAACCCCACCATGGGGCACTAACATCTAGTATTCATACACCAAAACCTGCATTCTCATCTTAAACTACTGCAGCAAAATGTGCCAACGCTTAAGGATTTTGTATGCAGTCATTATTAGAGGGGAAGATCAATTTAACAGGATGTGTAACAGTTTGTGCTCTGGAGGACCCCTGGTATGTGCTGCACTGGTAAATCTCACTGCAGTCTTGAGGGTGAGAAGTAAAGCAGTCCGGCTGAGCACAGAGCACGCCTTGGCTCGTCCTCAGTGTGGCAACCAGCAGGGAAGCCTGGCCGAGATAGCTGCCTCGGATAATATGTACCACCTTTACACACTTCTCCAAGACAAAACCCCAAGTTTGAATTGCAAAAGGATCCTGAGGAATCCAGACCTGATGGATCACTTGGAAAAAAAGGGACTTTATGCACTTTAAATCCCCTCTCGCTCCTAGAGAGCATCAGAGGAATTCAAGGAAGGAATATGGGTTAAAGTCAAGCTATAATTGTGCTTTGGTTTACATTTTTTTAGCAACCTTTTATTTCCAAGTTTTACAGCATAAACGCAAAACCTGAAGATCTCAAAGTTTGCAATGTAGATCTTTACTACGTTTTACTGTAAACGTTCTGTTATTGCTGAACAAGGTGATCCAGATAAACCAAGCCTATATACTGTTTCTGTGAAAGCAATAAAAAGGAGCATACATTTTTACAACCCAAAAAAAACACACAGAAGAAACTCATTGTATAGTTAACACGATACACTGGCCTCAACAGTAATGCTGAATTACAGAGTATTCCCCCAGAAAGCTCACTCATTTCTGCCTAAGGGTACAATTAATCTCCCAATGCATCAGTATAATTGTAGGGCCACATGAACAAGATCACTAAAATGTAACATATGCTGTTACTTAATAAACACATATAATGCAGGACATGCAGAATAATAAAAATATTAATATTTCCTCATGATCTATGGCCTTGTAAACTGACAATCTAACGTTTTTTAAATTCTACAATGGTACATAGCAATAGGTTAGTTATTTGTTCTTTTCCCCAACACATCCCTCTAAAACATACGCTGTTACAGAAGCAGCAAGTGGATTTGGGTTGGGGTTTTTTTGGGGGGGTGGTTGGTTGTTACAAAATCTTAGACAAAATTAGACACATACAGTTTCAATTCTGAAAGCTTACCAAGAGGTGCTTTGAGAAACCTGCGCTCAATTCCTTGTTCTATCTGAAGCAGTGCAGATGCCAAGTAATGGACCACATTATTAACTGGCTGAGGAGTACTTGTACTTGTTGATGCAGCACTTGGAGCTTCAGTTTTTAACCCAACAAGTCTAGAATAGAAATTTATTAATTTTTTTAACATACTTTGAATTTAACACCATAGACATTTGTACAGGTCTGTATCCACAGCAGATTTTTATTTTCATTGCTTTTACATGCATAGACTACGGACATGAACTGATGCTGCACACGTGTGATTAGTTATCCTAGTTCTTGAGTTTGCTTAATTAGTCTAGTTAATCTAGATAACTCATCTTTAGGTAACAAAGTTATCTGAGTTTCAAGAAATGTGGATGACAAGTTTCAATATAATTAATCAAGATTCCCAGAAGATTTGATGCAACAGCCATCAGCTGGTTTACGAGAGATTTATGTGAAGAGGATAGTCTCAGTAATTCTTCAGTGAAAACACTTCAAGTGGTGAGGTGTAGCCTTTTAGAATACTTCCATCTGCAGACGTTCAACCAGAAAGTAATTTTATAATGTTAAAAATCAAGAATTGTTAACTTACATATTCTCATCCTTGGAGGATTTTTCTAAAACACTAACTCTTCATGTA